CATGAGGTTTGTACCAATCTCTTCTTATCATGTAAATGCCAATATTGGTAATAACAAATTATGGGAAATTAAATTGATTCCCCAGCATCTTTTTTTTTCCTCTTCTTTTTTGCTCAAAAGCTAGTAAGTTTACAATTTCAGTGAATATATCTCACTTTTAACATGTGCAAATTGATAATCTTAACGCATTAAATATAAATCACTTTTTTGGAACATGATCTTGAAAGCATACTCTTTTTTCTATTGATATTTTTTGGGAAAATCACTAGCAGGTCCCACAGAAGGCAATTTATTACTCTGAGGTCCCACGAAATGTCAAAATCACTGACAGGTCCCAAGGGACCTCAGAATAATATTTCGTTTTGTAAAATGACATTACTGCCCCTCATATTCCAGATTCACATTTGCTCTGTCATTACGATTTACAACCTCAGCAGCGACTATTAACAACCTAATGAGAGGGCGTTAACAACCCTAACAGTATCCGTTAACAACTTACTTTATAGAATTATATAACCTCTACATAAGAGTAAATTATAACCAAATAATATAATACAACAACTTTAACACTAAAATGGGAAGCTTTTTGATATAATTAAGAATTTTAACTAGATCCAATAGGATTATAGTAATATTTTAATGCGAAGATCCATTTACAACCTCAACAGTGACTATTAACAACCGAATGAGAAGGCATTAACAACCTAAGCAGTATCAGTTAACAACTTACTTTATAGAATATATAACCTCCGCATAAGAATAAATTATAACCAAATAGTTTAATACAACAACTTTAATACTAAAATGGGAAGCTTTTTGATATCATTAAGAATTTTAACTAAACCCAATAGGATTATAGCAACATTTAATGCGAAGATCCATTTACAACCTCAATGGTGAGTATTAATAACCCAAAGAGAGCTGTTGACAATCTAGGCAGTATCTATTAACAATTGACTTTATAGGATAATATAACATCTAACAACTATATAAGATTAACTTTAAGACTATTTAGTTATAGTTTAGTTAGTTATAGTTAGAAGTTATATTATCTGATAAAGTTAGTTGTTAACAGACACTGTTAAGGTTGTTAACAATTTTCCTTAGGTTATTAATACTTACTGTTGAGGTTGTAAATAGATTTTCGCATTAAAATGTTGCTATAATCCTATTGGGTTTGGTTAAAATTCTTAATGATATCAAAAAGCTTCCCATTTTAGTGTTAAAGTTGTTGTATTATACTATTTGGTTATAATTTACTCTTACGCGGAGGTTATATAATTCTATAAAGTAAGTTGTTAACGGATACTGCTTAGGTTCTTAATGCCTTTTCATTCGGTTGTTAATAGTCGCTATTGAGGTTGTAAATGGATCTTCACATTAAAATCTTACTATAATCCTATTGGATTTAGTTAAAATTCTTAATGATATCAAAAAGCTTCCCATTTTAGTGTTAAAGTTGTTGTATTATACTATTTGGTTATAATTTACTCTTATGCAGAGGTTATATAATTCTATAAAGTAAGTTGTTAACGGCTACTGCTTAGATTGTTAATGCCCTCTCATTTGGTTGTTAATACTCGCTGTTGAGATTGTAAATGGATATTCGCATTAAAATATTACTATAATCCTATTGGATCTAGTTAAAATTCTTAATGATATCAAAAAGCTTCCCATTTTAGTGTTAAAGTTGTTGTATTATATTATTTGGTTATAATTTACTCTTATGTAGAGGTTATATAATTTTATAAAGTAAGTTGTTAACGGATACTGCTAGGGTTGTTAACGCCCTCTCATTAGGTTGTTAATAGTCGCTGCTGAGGTTGTAAATCGTAATGACAGAGCAAATGTGAATCTGGAATATGAGGGGCAGTAGTAATGTCATTTTACAAAACGAAAATATTATTCTGAGGTCCCTTGGGACCTGTCAGTGATTTTGACATTTCGTGGGACCTCAAAGTAATAAATTGCCTTCTGTGGGACCTGTTAGTGATTTTCCCATATTTTTTTGGCAACCTCTTTTCTATTGATATGATGCACTCAAAATTTTAATCTCACATTAATTAAATGATCACTAAAGAGATCTAACTCAAATCGTTAGGAAATGAAAATCTAACTCAAATCGTTAAGAAATGATATATATATGTTGTGTGGTTGGTGTGTTTGTGTGTGTGTTGTGTGTAATGCCACATTTTATTAGTTCCAAAAGTAGGAAATTCAAAATGTGAAACAATTCTCAAAGTAGGAAGGAAATTCAAAATGTGAAACAATTCTCAGGAACAAAATTTGATTTCACTAGACTTATTACAAAAATTATTACATCATGAATTGAAGGGATCAGACTTTAACCATTCCCTGCGAATCAACAGCTATAGCTAGATATATATATATCTGCTGCTGAATCATCATGGCATGGATCTATTAATGCCTAGAGAGAAACCAAATTACAAAAAATATAATAATAATGATTAATGATCATATATATATATATATATATATATATATATAAATGATCATCTTCTTCACTTGTTCATCCCTGTTGCGTCCTTCACTGCATCAGCAGCTCCTTGTGCCTTAGCCTGCATCTGCTGGCCAGCCTACAATACAATACAAAAATTCACTTTAAACTATATATATACATACACACATTTAATTTCTCTGGGTAAATATAATTTCATTTCATATATATATTATATTATATTATATATGTGATGATGAATTAATATAGAACCTCTTGCATGGATTCTTTGGCAGACTGAGCAGCATTGCTAGCCTTGTCCATCATGCCGCTAGCCTTCTCCTGCAATAATATTACCCACAGAATCATGTATACATATATACTTATATCAAATAAAAAACTCCTCAAAACCATCAGCCCATCAGACTTAAAACTATTTGTTTGAATCAGAGGAGCAAGCAGTAACGGTCTGAGGTTATAAATGAGATTGAATTCACAGTCTCCACTTACGGGAGAGCATTCATGCCATTTGGCTACAATGCCATTAACATTTGTGTTATATATATATAGAGAGAGAGAGAGAGGGAGAGAGAGAGAGGGAGAGAGAGATACCTCAGCTTGGCCCTTGGCTTGTCCAGCGTTGTAGCTTATGTTGTTCTGGGAGTCCATTTTCTTCTTGTTGAAGCTGTAAAATAATTAAGCTGAGAATGTATTGAAGATGAAGAATAAGTAGAAGTAGATCGTGTTGCAGATTAACTTCCCAGAGCACCCATATATATATGGGGAGATTGTGGTTCTTGAAGGCGTATTTTGCTCATTTTGGTGATTTGGATTGGAAGAATTCAATTCAAAGAGACTCTCTTTTAATGACAAATGGCTTTGTATTCTAAAAATGAGGCTTTTCATTCTTTCTTGACCACACAATATGTGGAGCAGATTAATTGATCATGTTTATTTACTCATAATTTTTTCTACTTAATTATATATATTCATTAAATTGAATGAATTTTGTTTATTAAATATCGATATGATTGAATTCTTCTTATGCCTTGGCAATTCCTCCAACGTAATAATCCAATGCTGCATAGCATATGACTGGCTTTTTAATGAAATTTTTTAAAAATAAAAGCATTATAAAAATTGTGTTTGATGATGAAACTATTTAATGAAAATTTAATCAACTTTTTCAAGTCAAATATAAATTGTTAGAAAGAAGTTACTACATTTAGCAAAGCTTAGCACGGAACAACAAAAGCGACGCCATTTGTTAAGTTTATTTCATAAAAAAAATCACTTGTTTTTTGTAAAAAAAAACTACTTGTGTTAAATATTATGATTTTGATTAACCTTTTGAAAAAAGCTCAGAATCTGAAAAGTTATATATTTCTAATTAACGAGGTAGATGAGAGTTTGGTCAACAAAAAAAGAAAAAGAAAACAAAGGTAGATAAGAGGGAATATCATGAAAATATGGAGATATGCAAATATGTAATAGAATTTGAAAATAAATAAATAATGTATGAATATATCACAAAATCTGAAAACCACAAAGTAATAATAAATTTTTATGATTGTAGCCAAATGCAAAATAATTACTGTTTTTCATAAAATCTCTATGCAATAAATCACTCCTTATAGAATCTATAATCTATAAACTAATCTAAAAATTACTTATTTTTTAAACTTAAAACAAACAGGACCTTGATTATTATTGTTATTAGCATCAACATGATAATTATATATTACCATGATTTAATCAAGATTTAAGATCATTTCTCTTCAGCCTAACATTAACATTTTCTTTTGTTAGCATATTTAATGTGCCCATATATGACTCATATTTAAGAGTAATTCAGAAAAGTTAACCTTAATGGCGCGAATCCATATTAGCCAGGTTCGAATGTGATTTTTTTCATTTTTGATGTTGAATGGTATTTTTTTTTTACAAAAAAAAAAAGCATGATTAATTACATTTTATGGCTCTGTACCATGAAGGCATGGAGAGAAGACCAACCAATTATTAGTTGATATTATAAACAGTCTTATTTTGATAAGGGAAAAAATAAGTTTGAATCCCAAAAAATGCATTTATTCCCACCTGATAGATATTAGTCTAAAGTCCAAAATAACTTGAATTAAAAAAAAAAAATCATCCGCCTACACTCCATGCATGAGAGGTGGAAGGGTAAGATTGGAATCAAAGCGAAGCATCTGAGGCAGAAGAGCGGGAAGAATCTAGCAAGTCAGTATTGTCATCATGCATGCTTGTTTATCTGCTGCTTCTTTTGATGCATATTCTCTCTCTGTCGTTATCCGTAAATAAAAACAAAGATGTTGTCGTGAGTAGAATAACGAAAGACTTCAAGACCAAATCCCGAAATGCCATATCACTCAACACTGTCACTAAAAAATTGAAACAAAGTTCTGTAACAATTCATACTTGCACGATTGGGAAATGAGTACAGAGACTCGTATCAGCTCTAAATTAAAAAATTTTAAAAAAAAAAAAAAACAACAACAACAAAGACAAAGATTGAGTTCCATACACATCAAAGCTTCATAACTTCGACGCCTCACTATCCAAGTCACTAACTATACATAGAACACAACATGGGGTCAACACCAGACAAATATACAACACCAGAAAAACCTTCATTGGGCAGAATGCTTTCCAACTACTTCTGCAGGTTGAAGTGAATACCAGTCCATCTCTGCTTTGTGCTACTGCTTCAATTTCTCTCAAATGTTTGAAATTCTCTCCTTTTTATCATGTTGTCAGTTTTCAACAAGCTGTCGAGATTCTCGAGGTTGAAGTTGAACAGACTTGCCATGCTGCTTCTCATACTGTTGTCTCAGTTCCTCTAAACGCTTGGATACCTGGAAACCATCAGAACTTGGACATATGAACAAAGAACAAAATCTATAGCATAATATGTTGGAAGTCAAGAAATTACAAATCCAAGAACGGATGAAATAAAGCACTATCTTTAGTTCTTAATATAAGATCCAGTCTATAGTTCATCTTATATTTAAGATCAGAGGCAGTGATAAACAGTTCATAACAAACTCCTAGAACTTTTTGAATTCATTACTAAAACAACGAATGCCAAAAAAGCCATTTAAATTCTCTATTTATGCACTTTATTTTCTAACTGCTAAATTCATTCTTAATAAGTGCCAAATAAATTAGAACGTGGCCATCTCTGGAGCTTTGAACAACAAGGTGAAGATCATTGTTTGATCTATCACATCCACCTATTACCAAGCCAACAGAGTGTTGCATAGCAAGATAACTTCTACAAATAAAAACCTTGTGGGAGTTCAGAAACGCAATAATTTATCATGTAATACATATTGTGTTGAAGATCCCAGCAAAGGGGGAGAAATTTTAAATTTGGATGTCAATGAGTGCACAAAAGATAAAGCAGAAAAAAGAAGAGAACCTTGAAGGAATAGGCCAATGGTAATAATGTGTCAGGATCCATTGCATCCTCAGGGAAATTCCGCAAGGCATGTATCAGTTTCTCGAAAGGCAATTTTATCTGGTAATTGAACCAAAGTATTAGCAGAAAAAATGCTGACTGGCTTTTGCAGTGAGCGAACAGAATTCATAAGGTTATATGACACTCACCAAGTCATCATGGCAATACTTTAGTAAGGCCAAGCCAACTTTGAAAACAATAACAACGCCCTGAAAGACAAAAATGTCATTATCATCATCATCATCTTCTTCATATATATATATACACACACACACACACATAATTACAAACCAATATCTATTAAGAGCAGTTGTTGCTAACCTCGTTCAAAAAGACATCCCAGATTCTAAGAGCCAAATGGAACGGAAAGGAGTATGAAAACACAGTTATGAACCACTGGCTTGCATACATGCTAGGATTTATCATTTCGTTGGCAAAATGTTCTCCCAACTTAGGCAGGTGCTCCCTCACCAAGTGTTCAAGCTGAAAGAGATACTGTTGTACCAGAGGCAATCCTGCCTGCATTAAAACGAAAAGAACCACATGAAAAGAAAGTTCATCTCGTTGAAGAATACATTATAAAAACAAACAATCTGCAATGTATCCAACAATTTCCAAATAGGAATATCTATACCAGAAAAAAAGGAGGGTGCACAATCAATGTCAGGAGGATTGTATGATCAAAACGAGATCAATATAGAAACAGGTTCTGACAACTAGATGTAGTTGAGTAGCAGATACTGATATTTAGTACCAAAGCATACTAGAAGATAAAATGTAGACCGATCATATATTATACCACATCAAATTAAAAAACCAACAAAAACTTTAAATGAAAATCATTCTAAGCTTAAAGAATATTCTTTTCCTGCCTTCTAGCAGAGACAGGCCTTAAAGATATGCTCAACATGAATATAGACTGATTTTAGAAGCTTTTTCAGGTATGTAATGTCTACCACTATTTTCAAATTAATTTTTTTCCTTTTGTATCACCTTTTGATTAGATAAAAACATTTACTTTTAGTTTAATTTATTTTAAGTGATTTTATGTTGTACAAAATAAATATGTGAAACATAGAAATATTTTTTTCAGGGGATGCCAAACAACCGCTGAGTTTAACTATTTAATTAAACTCCCTAACTCTCATATTCAGACCTAAATTTCAGGGATGTGGCATAAAAACACAAGGCTAAGGAGTGTAATGTGTGAACTTTGTTAGAAAATTTTAGGACTCTACATGTTGATAATCAACATTAAAAAGATAAGACCACATTCCTTAGTTGCAATTGCCAACCATTAGCTATAACCTAATATTCGGACACTCGATCATAACATTAAATTCCTTTGCTGGTAAGTTCAAGCTGTCCAAATCAGACAGCTTGTTTTGGTAGCTTTAAAACTAAAATCAGTTCAGACTTCCAAACAGGGTAGTGAAAGGGTTAATGCAGTTTACCTTTTAAAAGAAAATAACAATGGGATACTTTGGAAGAAGAACAAAACAAAATTGCTTTTCTTCTCCCTCATATTACACATATGATATGACAGTATTAGAATATATAGTAGATAGAAGGCCCCATTACATATTGTAACTCAAATTGCTAGTATTTCATGCAGCATAGTATTTCGGGTTATAAACATAAGAGTACTTACACTTTCCAAAGTATTTTCTCCTTACATAGCAAGGAGATAAGCTGGGATTGTACTACACTTATGATAGAAAAGACTATGCAACAGATAAGATTGGGACTGAAGGATATACGATACTCAAACTGAACGCTTGCTAAAGGATAACACTGCCCAGTCTGCGTTAGCAATCATACGACATATGAGTTGGCAATCATCTATATATGATCCCCCAACAATCCTTCAAGAATGATAATGGAAGATGCAATAATGACAGGAGAATATATTGCCATGTTTTTGGACCAAACGCAGCTTAAAGAGATTCATATTCAAACAGACCTCGGGTAGAGCAGACAGTGGCTCGGTTGATGCACAGGTAATACAAAAGGCCCAAAAACACACTATAAAACATTAAATCATCAAAAAAGTGGGAGAAAACACACTAAAGAAGCAGGGGACGAAGCAAAATAAACCACAAAGACCAGGTTGTTTGAGTGAATGACCAGTCAAGGTGTAAAGATGATCTTCCCCAATCCCTACTATGATCTGACCGGACTGTTGCTATGGTTGCCACAGACCTTCACCTCATGCATCAGTGTGTAGGGTAGTGCAAAAATCAGCACATTTGTAAAAATGAAGCATTTTCCTTTTGTCATTGCCAGAGATTGACTGTTCAGAGCTCGCTTACCCCAAGGTCAGGATACTAGGTCTAGCACGAAGTTAAAAAAGCTACTGCTCTTTGGGTCAGAAAACCACACAACCTCCAGAAAAGTTCCTTTGGTACAATGAACAGGGAAGACCCAAATTTTGTCTTCCCCTGAATCCGATACTATGAACTGACTAGAAAAAGAGAGAATGTTTTGAATTCGAACATAAGAGGAGATTAGCTTATATTGTGCTACATTAACTATGTGAAATATGCTATCTGGGAACTACTGCGCTTTGGGTCAGCAAACCACACAACCTCCAGAAAAGTTCCTTTGGTACAATGAACAGGGAAGACCTAAATTTTCTCTACCCCTGAATCCGATACTATGAACTGACTAGAAAAAGAGAGAATGTTTTGGATATGAACATAAGAGGAGATTAGCTTATATTGTGCCACATTCATGGCGAGGAGAACACTTTAAACTATGTGAAATATGCTATCTGGGATTAATATTAAGCTTTTAAGTAATGCAAGATGGAGATGTTCTACAATTTGGACCACGGAATTAAATAGATCAAGTGATAAACTAAGGGAAAAAGGAATTAAGTAGAAAGTAGACGCACACATGAAACAAGAGAGGGAGAGAGACTGTGGTCAACATGGAAGTAGAGTTTGATGCACTACACATTTTGTTTTGAAATGATAAGACAATTCTGCAGGTATTACGTGATTGGTGAATGAGTTCATACAAAGACATAGTTACCAGATACAAGCCCTCCATTGGAGCATGAACAGCTCCTTTCAGCAATGCCACCAACAGCCAAAATGCATCCTCCTCACTCATATACAAAAGTAATAGACCAGCTAAGAACCCCATTCCCTGGATTTTTCAAAAGGTTAGTAATATATTGTTATGCTACGAGCAACCAAAAAAAGTGATGAGATCATGAGTTGAACCTGAACATATCCGACGTCTCTGTCAAAGACTGAGTAAGCCTTTAAAACATTGTAGAGTGACCGCTGCCCAGGTCCATGCCTTTGTTGGAAGAACACATGTGAGGGGAAGGTGCGAGAAATATCTCTAATTATATCTAGCTCAGAGGCCGATGTTTCATATATCACTAGTTGCTGTAAAGGACATAATATCTTGTAAATGCAAGCTCAAGTGTTTGCATGACTGTATAAAAAAAGGATAAATGCTTTGCACGCATTGATCACTTATAATCATTAACCAATTAAACTTGCAGAACTAAATAGTCATTTACACAATAATTAATTCTCTTCATATGGCATATGAGAATGCGAATTTTAAAACAATTGACTTCAGTGGTTATGATTGTCAAGAAACTGCACAAGCTCATTCTATCCAGAGGAAGGTTTAAAATTTTTATTTGTAATGTTAATTTCAAGATAGCACAAAAATGGGATTAAACAGAGACTTGCAGATTGCAGGCTCAGAAACAAGTTAAAGATTTTAGTCACATAGGAGAGCTAAACGCTTCAATTTCTTCAATGAACGAGTAAAAAGACAGGGATAGAAATAATATCCACATAACGTCAATAAATAACCTTGTTCATGCGCATTACACAAGCTTGTGCACGAAAGTGCTTGTGAGTGAGAGAGTTCTTGCTTTATAGAAGTAAGAGCAAAAGTATAACCACATTCTTTTGATTTTTTCCCCCCTGGATAACCTTGCAGATATAAAGTTTTGCACAGCAGATGCTGAGCATGACCAACAATAATCACATGTCCTAGCTTAGTGTTTCTTCTTTACATAACTCATCCATCTTAAATTTTACACAACAGCTGCTAAGAGTTCTAACATCTCCAGGAACATCCATTTCCTTCTAAATATGAAGGAATGACAAATGAACTATAGTCCTCCCTGCTAGCACATGCTTCTTTCTAGATCTCCTCTTAACTTTCTGAACGCAAGTCCTGATTCGGTTTCTACCATTAGGTAGATATTCCATCTCGAGTAGCCTAGATAAGTCAAATACTCTGTTTCGACATTAATTCTCTCCGTCTACAAACCAAAACCTCAAATCTCTACAGGCCACTTTTTCTTGATATGCTTATTACGTGCAGATAAAATTCCAAAACATCAACCCAGTTAATTTTACATTGTAGGAAGCTACTATATTTTAATATATACTCACTTATTCCAAACGATGATTTAAAAAAAAAAAAAATTGCCTTTAAAATCAAAGTTAAACCCCAGAAATGGCACATTCAATGCAGCAATAACAAGGGGAAAAAGATTGCAAAACCAAAATATAGACACAGAAAAATAGGCAAAATCTCCTCACTTTTTGAAATGAACATAGACAGCTCAACACTATGGCACGTATTGACCATAGCAATATAGATTAAGTCATTAAGATGTCTGAGATCATCTTAATAAAGAAAAATGATTACCTCGTACACTCCAGGATTCATCAGTAATAGGTCTCGACTTCCTGATATCAACTGCCAAACAAGGCCCCTTAAACAATCAGGAATTCCTTTCCTTATACGCCTTTTGACAACATGAGGTTTTTTTCTTACATAATGCTTCCAGTCACTCCCACCGACCCCAATCATCTTCCTCCATTTTCTTACCCTTCTTTCCTCCCTAACTCTGATAAATATAGATAATAGTAAAGGTAAGGACTTTGTATACACTATGAATTTTATTCATTGTCTGAAAATGGAAAAAGCTTGTGGGAACAAAATACCTCTCATACTCATTTGCTGACCTACTCTTGACTAAACCATCAGAAGAGGTATTAGCATCCTGTTTTACAAACCCAAATCTGTCCACTGCTCTTGGTGAAGGAATTGAACCTGGTTCATGATCGTCTAATCTTTTCTTTTCCATTTAAGCATCAAAAACTAGCTCTTGAAAATCGCAAGAAAACTGACATATCATGCTTAATTAAACCTTATGATGAGGAAAACCTGACAAGATGTAAAGAAAATGAGATCGTCTATAGTCATACTTTTACAATAATTATTGAGAGACCAAATAAAAATTTGACATGCAAAATATACATTGATGATGATTCAGTAACAACCTTCATGTAGCTATTGAACAAGGGATGGAGCAGTTTCATTTATGCTGAAAGAAAAATACATGCAAGGAGAAGACTAGTTAATTTTTTTCAATTATCAGGACCAAGCAACTAAGTTTGACTTTCCTCAATCAACCAGCATGACTTTCTAAGGATCTCCAATTGAATTTGACTACTTGCCAGTATTTTAAAAGAAGCAAACTAAAAAGGCAAGAATACCAACGAAACAAACTAATTACCAGGAATCAGGGAATTCCAAAGCCAAAAATATTTGCTGGCTATTACATTTATAGCTTGAGATTTTTCTTTACAGGGTTAAAAAAGCCTCTCTTTTGCCTTCCATAAGCCCAGAAAGCCAGTAACAATACCTTTAATCAGCAGCAATCAAATGCCAGTTCCTTGACCTAAATAACCATTTCTGGGCAATGTGACCAACTCAAGCATTTTGTTCCCATATGAAATTTCTCATATTCCAAAAAAGGGGAAGTTAAAAAACTGGCAACTAAATTTTCTACCCTTCTCAATAAACTCGCCTTGCTTGAGCATAAATATAACAGCTTTAAACTTTTTATGATGGAAATGGGACTGCCCATAAATGAAGCCTGGATCAGTTTCATTTATAATTTACCACCCACCGCTGCAGTAGTGAAATTGACCGCCGAAATCAACAACTAAGACATAAAACCTAACGACAGCAGGAATACGAAGTCCATGAAGTAAATGTAGAGGCAGGGTTTACCTGATTAACATTGGAGGAATCACTGATTCGGTGGATGCCGTTTTCAGAAAAATTTCAAACAGAAGATGTTGATTCTGCTAATATTCCACGACCTTAACAAAGCCTTCAATGGAAGAGAGGGACGCCGCGGATGGCCGGCAAAAAACTCACGCTATTCCAATGATTCCTTCTCACGGAGATTCATTTTCCTCCCAACAGAATCTTTTCTTTCAGCTAATACAAAGCCTAAATTTAATTATTCTGTTATTATGCTAGTTTCATTTAATTTCAAGGGGGGAAAAAAATCTTTCTATCGAAAAGATTTCAGAAGAAACAAAATTGCAGTTTGTTTTTGGTTAAACAGAGTGAAAACTGAAATGTCGTGTTTGATGATGATTCTTTTCCATTTCGACCGAAAAAAGTATGTATTTAGTTTAATTAAATATTTTGATTTTACAAAACACTCCTATTTTCCGGTCAATTTTACTGAATTGAATATTCATATATTAAAATGATTCAGAGTAAACTTAAACATTTCACATTTAATTTGCATAATTATAATATAGGTTCTTGTTATAAGTTTCAATTTTTGAAATTTGAATTTATTTTGATTTTAGCTCCTAAAATTTAAAACCATTATTTTTTTGGTTCTTAAAATTTAAAAATATATTTAACTAAGAGAGATTAACCTTTATAGACAAAGTAAATTTTAAAAACAAAAAATACTTGTTTCAAATTTGAGGACTAAAAATTATATTAATCTTTGTATTATTATTTATATGCAGGTTGAGTATTTTGTTTAACAGGAACTGTTATATATAAGTAATAAATTTTGTTTTTTTTTTAAAGTAGAAATTAATAACCTAAAGAGTTTCACGTAATTTTGAATTTCTTAGGTTGGCAAAAATAATTGTGTTTTTCTTAGGCAAACTGCCGACTGTTGCTTTTACTTTTTATATTTTTCTTATTTTCATTAAATTATTTATTTATTTTATTCATTTTTCTTTCAAACTTATTTGTATTAGTAAAAGGGTAATATGTCCGCCTTTGACCCCAAAATGCTCTGAAAGTTTTCATTGTTGCACTCTTGTATCCTCGCCGTACTGACCAAGCTTTTGGCGTCACCAAAGGTCCAACAACATCATTAATATTAGAATTTTTACTCTCAATATGAAAATTGGTGCAGCCCTCTCTTTTGGTGCTCATCACAGCACCATTCGAAGCTTTTTATTACTATAGTAAAACTCATATTCAAAATACGATTGGAATGATTTAGATTTAAAATTTTTTAATAATGAATTTACTCTTTTAGAAGTATCGATTATAAAATTATTTTTATTTTAAATTATATTCTATTAAAAATTATTTAAATTAAATTTGGATTATTCAAAATCAATCTAGAATGTCTAAATTAAGATAATTATTTCATGCTCAGTTTTTGAATGAGTATGGCATGTGCTCGCGAAATCAATTGCACCAAGCTTATCCATCTAATGATATTATGTAGGAAGAAACATGTAATCATTTAAAAAAGTGTTTGGAAGCATTCAAAAGTACTTCTTATAAGTATTTTTTCGCAAAACGAGATAAATTCCTCCATATATTTATTTCGTACACCGTAAAAGTATTTTTAAAATCATGATTTTGATTCTATACAAATACTCTAAGTTTTTCTGGTCTTTGCACATTTGGTTATGGTAAGGAGGAAAAATTGGGGCATATTTTTATCCTCTAGTTTGGGTGTTTTTCAATTAAGCTGCCTGGTTTGAGCTCACAGATTCAATTTATTACCCTTTCTTTTTTCACCTGGATATTTCTGGCTTAAACTTACTCTTTTGTCACCTCTATAGGGATGGAAAATAAGGCCTTTTAGAAGCAATTATTGATATGATTTGACTGAAATGTACTCCCTCCGTTCCTTATTATAAGAGACAAATAACCAAAGTACGTTAATCAAAAAAACAATTAAAATTAGTTAAGAATAATTAATGTGTAAAAAGTATAATTTTTTTTCCAAAAATGCCCTCATTAATAAGGAGAGAGAGCATGAAAGAGAACAATTAAATTATTAAAAGAAAGAGAAGTGAGAGGGAGAGAGTGTCAGTTGGAGATAATAAATATGGGTAAAATAGTAAATCAACACAAAAAAGTAGAGACAACTTGTAAGTGTCTCTTATATATAGGAACATGTCATAAGCATCAAATGTCTCTTATAATAAGGAACGGAGGGAGTAACATTACTGGTTCCCTTTCCCTCACGAACACGAACCTAACCTTCACTCATCAAGTAAAGTCACTATCCTCTACTCCGACGTATCCCGGGGTTTCCAATAATGGCCCTTTAGAAGTTTTTTTAATTATAGCATTTTTTTTCCAGATATAAAATTTTTTTATTAAAAACAATTTTATTTAAAATACTGTCAGATATTAAATAGGAAGTAATCATATTTGATAAACTATTAGGTACTAAATAGAAGACAATCATGTTCAAAGTACTGTCAGGCACTAAATTTAAATACTTCTTTTAATAGAAATTCAAACATTAATTTATTGTATCATGAGGGATTTGCGTGCAAAGACAAAGGGTTCTAAATATCTGCTGTACTGAAAAAAAAAAGTTCTTCAATTTTTCACATACAGGCTTACTTAAGCGGGATTTTGTAGGGCGGGATATATTAGATATTTTTTCTTCTGTTTTTGTTCATGTTTGTAACCCATGAGTTTAGTAATTTCTCTATTCAATATTTACGGCAGATGTAATGGTTCTTTTTATAATACTCCTCTCGTCCTTAATATAAGACCCAATTCTTGAGTTGGTTTTGGTCCTAAATATAATACATATTTCTCATATTTATCATTTTTATCTAAATTACCCCTATGGATACTCCCTCAACCATAATCAAGTAGAAGAGGGAGAGAGGGTATTAAGAAAGATGATTATGGTATTTTAGGAAAAATGTCACTTTTCTTATAATTAACTAACTTATCTAACTTCCTTAATCTAATCAAATTAGTTAAATAGGTCTTATATTAAGGACCGGAGGAGTATCTTTTTTTTTTATAAGAAATGATTTTTCTCAAAGTGGTCTCCCTAAATATAAGAAATAGATTTTCTCTAACTAATATTTTAAACTAATCTTTTTACTCTTACATTCATTGAATATATATTACTCATTATCTGTCTCCGATAAATTTCCATTCATTATCTCTCACATACCAGTGTTTTCTTTACAAATAAGGGTATGGTTGGAAAAATATGTATATACCTTATATATTTATTATTTTTAACTAAATTTTAACTAACATTTTGAACCCATAATTTTGGTAGTTGTTTTTCTTAACAAAAAAAAAATCATTAAGCTATAGGGACATAGTTGGCAATACAGTCAATATTTTTTTTATATTAATTACATTTTCTTAATAATAAATATACAAAGAAGATCAGGCTGCATTATATATGCATCTCACGTGATAAATTTATTTAAATGAGTTGAATTAGGTGGGGAAAAGAAAAAGAAAAAACAGGAAAGATTCCTTAATTGGATAAGGTATGATTATTCAAATGCTACTTGTAATTAAATTAATTACCTCATGGAAAGGCCAGCTGTAAACTTCGCAAGGGGTTTCATTAATTAATTAATTACTTCAAATAATTATGGGCCCAATAAAATTGTTTCCCATGATTAAGGGTCCACATGGCTCCAACTTTTGCTAATGGATTATCTTCCAATAATTAAATGGAGTAATTAATTGAATGGTGTGATTTAATAAATCTATTAATATTAACTAAAATGATAAATATGTAAGAAAATGAAAGAACTGTATAGGAAAAAAAATAATACAATTAATTAGGGATAAAACTAGTAAAAATGCATTTAATATTTGGATAATTTCAAATAGAATCTTATCAAATTTACACTTTACCTTGCTTTGGTTTTAATACTTTCAAGAAAATTAACCTCTACTACTGATAGAGAATATTAGTTATAATTTTCAGGAAGAAAAAAAAGATTTTAGTTATAATTTACCCACAAAAAACTGCCTATCTTTCATAAAAGTGTCTGATTTTATATATAAGCTTTAAATTTGAAAAAGAGTGTGGCCTATTTTATAAGTTTTAATTTAGACTTATGTTAATATTAGTGCATTTTTTAAATTTTATCCTTAATTATTTATGAAAAGAAAATAAAAAACCAATAATAATTGAAGTCAACCATAAATAAAAGAAGAGCTTCCCGATCACTGATGGAATCAAAGCAGATGATACAGAATAGAATAACCAAGAACATTTGAATCTTCTCTTCATTTTTTTTTTTAAAATTTCGTCCCTACCATTTTAAATTAGAAATAAATGATTTAGATTCAATATTTTATGAAAAAAAGTTATTGTTTATTTTTCAGGTAGTTTATAATAATTTTATAAGATATTAAATCTCAACTATTCGATTTTTAATTTACACTTAGCTAGATGCGATTAGAAGAAGAAAACGAGAAAATGAGGGGGGGGGGGAAGAGATTCTCATTCCAGAATATACTGGTGTTTATTTCCTCCAAAAATGGTGTTTACTTCAACTTAATAAAGCAATTCCTTTTATAATGATGACGTCTTCCTACCTTGTCTCTGCAAAATCCTAATTAAGTTTTTCTTATATTCTACTAGCTCTGGTGTTTAATACTTCTCTGGTCTTTAATATAGAATCTAATTATTAAGTTAATTTTGATTTTAAATATAAGATTTATTTCTCATATTTATCAATTTTTTAAAATTATCTCTGTGGATACTTCCTTAACCATAATCAAATAAGTGAGGGAGGGAAGATATTAAGAAAGATGATTATGGTATTTTAGGAAAAACAGATCATATTTCTTATAATTAACTAACTTATCTAACTTTTTGGGTTTAATCAAATTAGTTAAATAAGTCTTATATTAAGAACCGGAGGAGTATAAAATTTATTTTGAGTTGAGTTTGATCTTAAATATAAGATTTTAATTTATTTTGTCTTTCATATTCATCATTTTTTTCCAAACTATTTTTGTTAACTTCACATATTAAATAGGTTTATATCAAGATTCAATAGGTAATTTCAATATAAATGATTTAAGAAGATATTTTAGAAAAATCAATACATACATTTCTGTTCACAAATAACCAATTTGTCTTATTTTGTTAATCTATCTAAATTAGTTAAATAAATCTTATATTTTTTTAATAGGAGATATTAATATCTACCT